CCCCCCCCACCCACACCCCCCCCCCCCCCCCCGCGACCCCCCCCCCCCCCGCCGCCGCCGTTGCTGCTACGTCGAGCATATTTCTGCGAGGGTAGGAGATGCAGGAAGGAGAGATAGAAACCTGTACGAGCTAAAAGAGGATAGAACGTCAGGATGGTAGGGAGAATGCGAGCACAAAGCGTTTGCGCGAGAGAGTAGAGCGGCAACGAGTGGGTCAGAGGGGCCAGCACGCGGAAAACATGCGCGCGAAAGAGAGGAGCGCGAGAGGACAGCCAAAGGGTCGAGTGAGAAGGATCCCCTCCGTATGGAGGGGAACGGTCGGGGAACCCGTTGTTGATGGTGCACCAGACCCCTCCGTCGATGATGTACGTATATATACGTGGGAGTACGTATATATACGTTTGTATCTATGTATACGCATGTGTGAAAGGATGTGTGTACGCGTATCTGGCTGTGGTTGTCTTCTACTCGCGCGCTCCCTCTCGCCTGAGGTGCGTTGGGAAAGTCACGGTTGAGGGAGTTCTCTGTGTACAAACGGCGAGAAAGGGATGAGGAAGAGGAACCAAAAATTCGTGCTTTTCTCCCTTTTTTTCCTCTCTCTGTCTGCGGAATTTCTGTCGTTTCTCATCGCTAGTAAAACCGCGGACCATCCGTTCTCGTAACCGCTCGCCTCGTCGTTTCCCACATTCTCGACCGCACCCTCTCCGCTGGTCGCTTTCCCCGGTCATCCTATCCACCTTGTCGGAGAGGGTTGCGCGCGACCGATCGTCAGCGGAGATAGCCGAAGGTGAACGAGCACGCGAGAGTGGTGGCTGGATAGCGGGTGAGGACCCGAGGTCGTCGCGGACGCGCTCGTTCACGGGGGTGAGTTTTGAGTTCCATGTACTGTTCGATGTTGGAGCCAAGTTTCAGACCGGCCCTCGTAAACTCCAGCTATTGTTCTTCCAGTCATTGGGCAGGCCCCCGGTTAGGGATGGGCACTGCGAATAACTAATATTGAGGTCGATAGGACGCTTCACGACGAGTTGCGAACTTTACTCGGAGCGCATAATGGAAATCGAACCAAGAACATCGATGGTTTCGATCGGAGATGGTGATATAAGTCTACGGTTTGCGCATCTAGCGTAACATATTTAGTTTAATTAAAGTACCTATTTTCCAATGGGTCTATATCGTTGAATGTGTCTTAGGACACCGTGCCTTACCTTACAACTCAGCAACGGTTGAAAGTCTTCAACGCGTACACCTCTTTCTTTGCCATTCTCGCTTCCGTCTTTTCCCTCGTCCGACTTCAATTTCACCGAGTCGTCTTTTCATTCCTCCCCTCATCTCCCTTCCAACGCGACGCTTCTCGGTCTTCGCCTCAACGCGCGTTATGCACGCGAGCCACGGAGCTCCCTGTTTTTCCACCGCCTTGTCCTTCGTGTTTTGATTTCCCAGCACGATGATGAAGCAGCCTGTCGTGCGTTCCTCCGGCTCATCCTTCTCTTTGTTTTTACTCGTACCCTTCGAGAAGTCGACGCACGCAGTTGTGTCAACTGTTCCCATTTTCTATTGCGAGTTTGAAATTATTGTTCGCAGCCCCAACAACCGTCTCGTTCATCTTTCTCGTCGTCTATTATACATTTTCGACAAGGTCTTCTCCGTTCCGTCACTCAGGGAATTTCAGATGGCTAAAATTTGGTTCGAACTACCGAACGACGTTGCGGCAATTTGGAGGACGCACGGATGTTCTTTGATGTTAGAATATTCCGCGGGTTGGTTTCCAATCGCGTGACCAAGTTGGAGCGGAAACCTTTGCATGCCGTCAAAATTGCGAACGAACAAATATGCATATAATTACACGTTGCACGGCGTTTGCGCTTTCTTTGTAAGCACGCCAACGGTGAATGGTTACGCTTATTCGCCACATTATTCTTTCTAAAACACTCGTCAAAATCTCGATATACTCTTTTACGATTTTTTTGTATTATTACTTGATCAATTTTATAACCGTTTGCGTATTTGTTTTCGAAATATCTCTAGCGAGAGAATATCTCTCACTACTAATGGATCAGAATTTTCGTGAAACTTTCGACAATTTTCCCAGCTCTAACGGCGCATGTAATGCATAAATACCGAGATAACTTTACGTATTACTATCTATGTATATGCATTTTATGGAGAAAACTGGAAGGGTGGACTAATGTACGTTTTGATGTCGAATAACGTGAACCACAGATAACAATTCTAACTGTATTTACAAGTATATAAAATACGATACATTCATCGAGTATTATAAGTTTCAACATTTTAAAAAATTAAAATTTGTAACAGTGACACTCTTAACTAGGTTACTTTCTAGGTTAAACAGGTACAGTTAAACAGAACGAAGGGGAATTCCGAATGGAACAAAAGGTATAGAGAAATAAAAGTGTAATACTATAACTGTAGCCAAAAGTGAAAATATTTGTCTTTTTCTTTTTTTTTGTACTTTAGAAGGAAAGTGTTAGATTCGCGAAGTTAGCACGCCATATTCTCAGTTTTGATTTTTTAGTATAAAAAATACAGAATTTTTTTTTATTTTGATAAGAAACCGTAAAACTATGAAAAGTGCTACTGGGATTGTCATTATTTCTTTTTATATTAATAGAACGATGTGCTAACTTTACAATCCAAATTGATGTGGATTTGTAAAGTTAGCGCCATATTCTATTGATATAAAAAAAAATAGTGATTCTAATAGGATTTATTTTTTCTTTTAGTAGTTCTACAGTTCCTTATAAAAAATAAAAAGAACTCCGCATTTGTTATGCTAAAAAACTAAAATCGAAAAAATCAGAACTCTGTTTAAAATGATTTTACAGCCTAGAGTTCTATTAAAACTAATTAACGCGGTACGACACTTTTTTTCAAGTATCGTGATATCTTGTATATTTATTGTCTATTATAAATGTGGTACTTGGAATTTTGTTTCTAAATTACATATATTATACAAACTTGAGTAGTACTAACGGAAATTAGTACACAGGTCACGAAATAATTTGCAACGTGATCATGTATTATCATGTAAACAACGTCAGATCTTTTCGGTTTAATATTGCAAATGACGTAACTTTACGAAATCTTGTTATCAAACACTCTGTATTAAAGTTGATCTTAGAGTTGATCGAAACTTTTTTTAAATGAAATCGATTTAAAAATCGGGACATTCTGTAAGAAATCTCGAGTATGCGTTATTTTTTCAATAACAATTCATTCGTGACTATTGATACTGAAATATTTGATTGAAAGATACTCGCGCTACTTTAAAACATGATTTAAATCTTAATTAACGAATTCTTGCACACTTCGGAACGATCGACTGTGATTTCTCGGTAATACGATGGAGGGAATTAATTTTCCACCAGCTGACTTCCCTCCTGTGCAAAATTCGACCGATAATGTACCTATACGAAAGCAACATATATGAAATTGAAACTAATTATGGAAAGTCTGTAATGCAACTATTTATCGTTCTATAGCTTCTAGTTTTAAATACTATGGGAGACATGCAACAAAATGCCATTAGATTTATAAGAAACGACAATATCCTGGGTTCTGGATAAATGATTTTTGTTTACCGAATCATTTATCATAGACATAGTAACCCAGAAGAATCTTTCAGAGAGATCCACCACGCTTTGCGATAGAAAGATTAAGGATTCTCTCTTCGTCACATTGGCCGATCGAACATATCCATTTTGTCGTCATAGAAACGGCGTACGAGGAGTTTTCGCCGATTCGGTTTTCTCCGAGAATAGCAACGTTATACACGATCACGCCGAGAAAGAGGACGATGTGTGTATAACGCCAAAATTACGCCAGGAATCTGCGATTGACGCATCATCCATATGTCGTTTATGTTAACCTTGTCGAGCCAAGAGAAAGAGAGAAACTTTGCTATTTTCCTCGCAAAAATACATTTATTGAAATAGACAATGAAATTTGAAGCGACGTGTTTTATTCAGAATTCATTGGGTGAAAGTCTCTCAGTTATATTGAGTTACACCTCGTAAAATTCGTCGTTCTATTGCAGCTCGTCGCCCATCTCCTTGGGAAGTCGTAATTTCGACAAAATAAAACGGCGGATGTCGATGTGACGTGGTCGGCCGTAAAGCGCCACTGAAAATTGTCATAACGTCGTTCCGGATACGATCGCGGTGAACGCGCATCCTGCTCGGATTTTCTCGCGCTTGACCCATTTTTGTCTGGCTCTCGAAGAACGCGCGTACGAGGCATTATTACTTCTTCGGAATTTCATTAATTCCCACCTTCGTCAGATTTCCCGATGGTTTTTAGCGCGATGTCCTACGCCTACTTCCTTTCTTCTTTCCTCCCCCGCGTTTTCGTAATGATTTTTCTTAATCGAGATGAATCTTGATCTAAAGGTAGCCAAAAGCATTCATTAACATTAACTGTATAAGAAGTTGAGCTAAAAAGAACAGATCTATGATCTTCATTAATTCCTACCTTCGTCAGATTTCCCGACGGTTTTCAGCGCAATGCTCTACGCCTACTTCCTTTCTCCTCTCCTCCCTCGCGTTTTTATGATTTTTCTTAATCGAGATGAGTCTGAATCTAAAGATAAGCAAACGCGTTCATTAACATTAACTGTGCAAGAAGTTCAGTTAAAAAGAACAGGTCTATAATCTTCATTAATTCCTATCATCATTAATTTCTACCTTCGTCCCGAAGGTTTTCAACGCAATATACCTACTTCTTTTCTTTCCTCTTAATTCTTCCCCGCATTTTCGTAATAATTTCTCTCGATCGGATAAGTCTTAATCGATCAGTTACACTGTTAGAAATGTTCTTAAATTTTATTAACTTTTAAAGTA